CGATCCCTGGTGAGAACAGCTGCAGCCATTGTGTTGGGTGTCTCTCACACCTAAATAATAATACTTTCCTTTGCAGGCTTCCAGGCCCAACAACACCAGGTCAGAGGGAAACATTGCACTCCAAGGTTCCCTCTTCCTGCATCCGTTTTTTGGTTTTTGTTGTTGTTGTTGTTTTTTTTGTTTGTTTGTTTTTTGAATGAACTTTTTGTCCCTGTCGGTGAAGAATGAGCTACAGTGCAAACTCTAGCTTCAGGGAACTACAAACTGGGCCCATCGTACTCGGATTTTGAAAAATACACTTTCTGAAACCAGGCCCATATCCCATCTTACTTTTCTTACAAAATAGGAGATTGATTTTAACATTATTAGATTTGCTAGTAGGGATTGATCATTTGCATTAGGAATTATCCTTTTAAATCTCTGCTTTCCCCAAGATTGAGCTAAGTTCTTTGAAGCAATATCTAAAATATCTGACAAAACATTAACCCAAAATAGCATTTCAATATAAGACGTTTAAAAAGCACTGTGCTATGCATCCGCATAGACCTGGATGTTCTCCTGTATGTTGCCTTCCATGGAGCTGCATCCAAAAGCATCCTGGTGCTGGGTTCCAAGGCATCCCTACCACTGTGATGATTACCCTCCTCTCATAAGAATAATGGTCCTTCCTGTGAAACCAACCTCAGTAAAAAAAAAAAAAAAATACGTTAAAGGGTAAAAAGCAATAAAGGCTTAACATTTACAAACACCACAGACTTTTACTTAGAGACTAAAAACTGCAACATACTCATTCCTCGGTGCTTCTGAAAATACCGACTTTCTGATTCTAGGGAAATATAATTTTAGTAACTCATCAACACAGAATACATAAAATTGGCATACTTTGGATGGGCACACAAATTGAGAAAGCATCTCTCCCAACTGTGTTATAGAAAATGGGATGCATCTGCTATGACAATATGTCCCCAAACGTGATCAAGAATGAGCAGGAAAAAAAGTTTTCCTGTCTGTCTGTCTGTCTGTCTGTCAGTCTGTCAAAGCAGAACATTTGAAACAATACACGAGGAGAAGGCATTGTTACATGTGCTAGCGTTTTTTAAAAGTGATTTGGTTAAAGAAAAGATAATGAGAAGGCTACACTTCTTTAAGTTTAATCAGTGTATATGTGACTTCCAATCACATATCTTCCCCTCAGCAGTCAAATCCGTTTCCTTACTTTTGCTTAACATCTCTACCTAGTGTCAGAATGTAGGCACATATGTTGTTGGGACCTCATGCTGGTCTGGGGGTGGAAAAATGGGAAGTGTGTTGAAGAACATGGTTGATGCCAGAAACAAGCAAAAAATAAAACAAATTTTCAAGAATTTTCCAATGAATTGTGGTATTTGTTTGCTGCCGTTTTGTACAGTGATAATCAGAATATGATAATAAATGCTTTTATTGTCTTATCTTCTGTGTGAGTCCCTCTGTGCTGGTGACCAGTAAATAAGGCTTCATGTGCTGTGAACTCCTCTCAGTGCCCAGGTATCTTAGGACGAGAAGAGACGCTGAGAGCAAGCAAGCTCCTGAGATGCATTTGGAAAGGTAGGATGCTACAAACCGAAGCCTGCCCCTGGGCACCTGGTAAATTCAGTTCCAAGTTTCAATTCCCTTTCTTCTTGTCCCTCTTTGGGCAAGAAGAAAGTTTTTTAGCTGAACAAAACGTCGTTTAAAGATTATCCACTACTCTCTTCTTCACTAATAGGTGTTTAGGAAACACAGCTGCAAGCCACTGCAGAGGACACTCTCCACTGTGGGAAGAACAAGACCCCAGGAGCAGCAGAGGCTACAGACATCCTGTTCCTGGCCATCCCCTTAGGTCTGTTTGTTCTGCCTACATTTATCTATTAATTTTTTAAACTTTACTCCAAATTGTATAATAGTTCTCTAATGTCTACATTAAAATATTGGTTCCTTATAATGAAAACCTTTAGAAATATAAAATGATTGACATGTGATTTTAAGTGTAGCAGCAATGCAGCAGAAATGAAAACGATCTGCTGTACAGTGTGGTGAGGATGCGGCATTTTACATCAAATGCAAACTTGTATGCCTCTAGATTAAACAGATAAAAGTCATCTCCAAAGCTGAGGTTCAAAGGTTTGGAAACAGAGAGCATTGTGAGAAAGACTGAAAACTGACCCAAGTGCACATCTCTCTGTGATGCTTACTAACTGCACACCCATCCTGGAAAGGTCACTTAACTTCTTGGGATATTAGCTTCTAATTCATAAACCAAGGAGAACTTCCGCAGGACTGCAATGAGTGCTGGATCTTGCCATGCTCTGGAGTGCCCAGCATGGGTGAAATCGCACACACTAATGTTACTTCAGTATGGTCTCCAAAAACAGCTTAGATTTTCCCCACACGAAAGACATGCCAGGATTTTAAAGGAAAGTTGATGGTTTCAAAACTGTTTGGATTTTTAGCAAAGGGGAGGAACACAAAGGTGAATTCTGTTCTGTCTTTGATTTGGAGATATGTCCACGTCAATGCACTGCAAAATAACTTAACAAATTAACTTTCACTATAACATGATAGGTACCTTCCAAATAATTCTATTATTATGTGTGCTCTAATAGTTAGGAAATGTGAATATCAAACCAATCTCTTAACATTAAAATAAATGTACATTAGGACTATATAAGAACTCAAAACATTTCCCTTAACTCATAATATTTCTACACTATTCTTGCTGTCAACTTGACCACACCTGGTATTAACTAAACTGGAATGACTGGGCACATCTTTGAGGGATCTTTTTAAAATTAAATCGTTTAATTTTTATTATTATTATTATTATTATTATTATTAGAACTACTTCTAATCTAGATCTTCCTAGATCTAATCTAGATCTTTCAAATGGGAAGACTCACCTTTAATCTGCATCACACCTGCTAGCAGCCTATGTAAAGGACATGCAAGAAGGGAGCTCTCTCTTTTTGCCTCACTCCTGCTAGCGCATCCATTCCCCCACTGGCATTAGAGCCTACCTTGGGATTCCAGCATATACTGAGGAGCAGCTGATACCTCCAGTTTCATGGACTGAACAACTCCTGGATTCTTGGAACTTCTACTAATAGGCATTCGCCTGTAAACCATTCAACTCCCTTTATTCACCCTTTAAATTCTGTTCCTCTAGAGAATCCTGATTGATACAGACACATATTTTTTAAATCATTTTAAAAATACTTTCACTTTGCTTTTGAAATAAAAAAGAAAGAGTTCTTTTCAGGTCTGTTTCAAGTCAATAAAAGATGAAGTTATTCGGTCGTTCTCTGCCAGTTGTGTATATATAATCTGATATAAGTTTATATAGAACATCAAATGTTTGCTAAGCAGAAAAAAGATGGATTAGACTGATGTCTGGCCTTTTTTTTTTCTTCAGAAACCACACTAAGAAAAGAGTAAATAAGCTACATAGTTTTTCTGAGCTCTTGACTCATATAATCAAAGGGTAAATTTCAACAATTGGTTGAATTTTTTTCAAGCTGGTTATTGATTTACTTCAAGTTTTAATGTAATATGATCACAATTATTGTAATGAAGGTTAATTAGGTAACACATACTAAGAGAAAACAATTAAGGCCCCTTGTAGAATTGAATATTTGAAATATTTTCCACCATGAACATGATTTAATAGACATTTATAAAAAGGAAAGATCCCTCTTAAAAACAGTAGGCATAAACAAAGTCACCTATTAACCTAAAATGACTGTTTAAAACACGCGGAAAAAATCTTGTCTGAGTATTCAGCATGAAGTGTGAAGTAGCATGTTTAAAAGAAGCACGTGTTTTGATGACTGCTAAACTTTAGAACATAGAAAAGTATCTTCTTGAATTGTGTATCCTGCTGTTCCCTGTACCACAGTGATCTGCTTCATCCAGCAACTAATGAAAACAGAGACAGAGACCCTCAGCGGAGCGCTGGACTGAGCTCCCAAAGTCCAAGTTGAAGAGTGGGAGGAGTGAGAATATGAGCAAAGAGGTCAAGACTATGATGGGGACACCCACTGAAACAGTTTACCTGAGCTAACGGGAGCTCACCAACTCCAGCCGGGCAGAGAAGGAACCAGCATAGGTCTAAACTAGTCCCTCTGAAAGTGGTTGACAGTTAGCTGTATGGCCGGAGCAGACTGTGGGGCCACTGGCAGTGGCACCAGGATTTATCCCTACTGCTTGTACTGGCTTTTGGGAACCTATTCTCTTTGAATGGATACCTTGCTTAGCCTAGATATCTAAGGCTATCTAGATATCTATAAGATATCTAGATATCTAATGCTTTTGGGACCTCCCCAAAGCATTGTGCCTTACCCTCTCTGAGAAGTAGATGGGGATGGGATAGGGGTATGTGGAGGGAATGGAAGGAGGGGAGGGAGTGGGAACTGGGATTGATATGTAAAATGAAAGAAGACAGTTTGTTTTCTTTTTTTAAAAAAGAAAAGAAAATATAAGAAGAGAAAGTTTCGAGAAGAGAACACCAAGAAGTTAGCGAACTTCTGCGATAAATTTTAATCTAAGCCATAGCTTCACGTTTCTGTACTCCTATGTCCCCTGAAGTCATTTGCTTCGGATGATGCCCTTCTACAACGCCACCCACGATTGCATTTCCTTTCCTAAATTTTGGAGGTTGGTGTGTGTGTGTGTGTGTGTGTGTGTGTGTGTGTGTGTGTGTGTGTGAAGAAAATGCTTAATCGGGCATGTTGCAGGGTACCTCTAAAAAACACCCATGCTAACTTGTAACTTCATCAAGCTACTCAAACTGCTTTTGGAGACAGGGGTTATTCTAATCAAAGTCAAGTCAAGACTAGACTCCGCCGCTACTAAACGGGAGTAAAATGTTTCCCTAGCTGGGTCTCTCACAGGCGCGCACACACCGGAACCCTCTTCAGGGAAGGGCAGTCTGAAGCTGGAGGGGTGGCCCTTAAGCTTATCCCGTGGTCGCGCCACCTTGCACTCACCTGGCTGCGTTCTTCGCCCTTAAGCAGAGCTTGGGGCTCTGAGGGACCCCGTGCGGCTCCTACGGGAGGTGGCACCGATTCCAACAACTGCTCCAGGCACGCGGTGCCAGGAAGAGAGGAGCTCTTTTGGTGGCACAGGTGCACCCCAGAACCTCCACGCCGTGTGCCTTCATCTCGGACGCGGTTCCCCCTTGCGGGCGGTTGGGGAGAAGAGGACAGAGAGGATGAGGCGGAAGAAGAAGGAACTGAGTCCGGAGAGTGTCCGCCAGGAGGCGTCACTCCAGTTGGCCCCGCGGCCGTCGCGGGCCCCTTAGCCACGGGCAGCAGATGTTCGCGGAGGCGGCGGCGCAGCGTGGACCCCTGCTCGGCTCTGCCTGCTCCAACCGGCTCCAGGGCCTCCGGCGAGGAGCAGCACAGGTTGGGCTGCGAGGAGGAGAACACCCGGTCTAGCACTTGCTTCCGCTTCTTGAAGCCGCTCCACCTGCTGCCGGTACTCCCCACACCGGCCAGTGCGTCCTGGGTGGCCCTTGGAGGCGGCGGGGATGGGGTCGGAGTGGCCGCAGTGCGGCGCTCGGGCCCCCCGGTGCGACCGCCCCCGCTGCCCTTGCCCTTGCCCACCCCCAGCTGCAGATTCTTCCATAGTCGGGCCTGGAAAGAGGGGGACGCGGCGGGCTCGGGCTCGCCAGCCCTGGCTGCCCGGGGCTCCATCCCGCACCCCGGGAACCTCCTGTGGCCTCCTCCTGGCTCTTCTCTGCCCTCTCTGGCTGCGCCTCCTCTGGGAGAGTGGAGGCGGCGGTGGCAGCGTCCGTGACCGGCGCAGCAGCACAAGCCAGGAGTTCCCAACGGCTTCAGGCCAGCTCGGAGCAAAGCGGCTGCGGCCGAGGCCCTTTGGGCCGCGGGGTGTCACCTCCTCCGCCCGCTGCACCTGCCCGGCTGGACTGGCGCCGTCCCCAAGCGCCCGCGGCGCCTGCAAAGTTTCGAGCACTGAACTCCGCGGCTCCAGTCCACCGAGTGCCTCCAGGCCGCGCCCTGGATCCCTGAGCGTACTGGTTTGAAGCTCGGGAAGCTGCGAGCACCCGGCGGAGGCTGCTCAGGGGACCACACCCGCGCCCTCGGGCCAGCACCTGTCAGTGGCAGAGGCTGTTGCCTCCAAATTGGGCGCGCACGTGGTTCACACGACAGGGCGCGTCTTGTCATAGAGGTTGGGTACCAGCAGCCCAGACTAAGCTGCCCAGGATCATCCTCTTGCTCCTAGGTGGGAGGGCAGGCAGGAGACGGGTGGAGCTGCGTAGGGCCTGGAGCTGGCTTGACTTAGTATGAATCTACAGTCGCGCGTGCACACACACAGCTGACTTTAGGACGAACGGATCAGATGAAGTGCATCCAAGTGGAGTCTATGTGGGTACCTCAGGGAGCTGTGCGTGCAGTTAAGCTCTCTAAAGGCTGCCTCCACCGTGTTGGGCATCCCGGGCTCGAGAGGCGAGTTTGATTTCTTCTCTCTTAACTTCACTACCATCCACTCTCCAGGCTCTTTGTTCGCATGTGCTGCGACTTCCTTATAATTAGGATCTAACAGTTCCCAGAATCTGACAATAAAGCTAACCGTTAAAGTAAGTTCCCCTTGGACAGAGATGGGAGGGTGCCCACTGCCTGTGACCCTATTCAGAGTTCAGACTTGTTCTTTTCACTCAGATTTTCTCTTTAGTTACTTACTGCAGTTTGTTAGAAGACTGATCAAAAAAGGCTTTTTTGGTAGTCTCAATTTTGCTCCTCCCCAAACCTATGCACGCAGAGTCTTCAGGCTCCACGAGAATGTTTCTGAAGGGTGAGTAACACCGCACCCTTCCCTATTCAACTGCACCTTTCTCAGAAGCCTCAGCACAGTGCTGTTGAATTACTTCAATTGGGCATTCTCTCTCCTTTCTGCCCAGCAATTTTCCTTGGAGGTGTAGTCAGTCTATTCCAGATTGTATTTTCCTTACTCTTCTAACAAACATTTTTGAGCTTGTGCGGGGCAGTGATCAGCACCAGACAAACAGTTGTGAACACGCAGGGAGGACTTGAGAAGAGCTCAGGAAGTAAGAAACTAAATAGAATTTTAAAAATGAATAGCCCCAGAGAGATAACAAAATATTACCACAACTGAATTTCTGGACTACAGAACATCCCATTAAATTTGAGTTTCAAACAAATCACAACAAATTTTAGTATACATACATCCCAGATATTACAGTGAACGAAGACCAAAAGTTTAGCCAGAGTCTTACTGTACTAGGCATCTTGTATTTTTACTGAATCTAACAAGCCCATATTTAGAAGCTGTGTGTTATAATTGTGAGTGTAAAAAAAAAAAAGCCTCTCTGAGAAGACTAAGTTTGAGATGATACTAAAAAGGAACAAAGAGCCAGCCACTGAAAATCTGAATGCAGTGTTCCAGGCAGAAAAATACCAGACGTGAAAGCCATGAGGCAGAAAAGAGTTTGACAGGACCTAGTCACACAGAGACAGAGACTGTTCCAAAGAGGGTGAAGAAAACTGGTCGGGCCTGGTCAACTGAGAGTACAGGGTCTTCTTAGACTATATCTGAAACTTCTGTAAATTAAATCAAGGACCTTTTGGGTGTATCCAACTCATGGTCTACAGACTAAATACAGTCCAGGATAGCTATAAGTATGGTCCAAGTTAAAAGAGTTTTTAAACTTGATTGCATGGTTCTTTAGCATGAACTTTGCAAATGACAATGTGTCAGTGTCAAAAGGTTGGGCATGTCTGCTGGATTATTTTCAAACATGAGAATAATGTGAATTACTAATACATACACACTAGAACTATTTTGAGAATTTTGTGTCTTTATAAAGGACTTAGTCTTGTATGTTGCTCACATTACTTTTCTAAGTTGATGAACTTATGCTTTGGGGAAAGGCAAAGGATCCATTAAAGATTACAGGTGGCATTTATATAGCATTCTCCACGTAACATTGCATGGTTGGAAACAATGGTTTGCAGGAGGTATCAATTGAGCAAGTAGAAAAGAAGGTGCAAGGAAGTTCCCACCTGGCACCGATGGGTCACATTTCTGTATTAACTGAGGCAGTGACTACATGGGTTTCCACATGGGAGAGAGATTAATAGAACTACATACTGGTATAGGAAGTTCTTCTGCTCATGTGTTGCTTTCATTGGTTAATGAATAAAGAAACTGCTTTGGGCCTGATAGGGCAGAACTTAGGTAGATGGAGAAGACAGAACTGAATGCTGGGAAGAAGGACAAAGTGAAAGAAGCCACAGATCTTCTGCCTGAGATGGACGCCGGTTAGAATCTATGGTAAGCCACTGGCATGTGGTGATATACAGATTAATGGAGAAGGGTTAAACTAATATGTAAGAATTAGCCAATAAGAAGTTAGAGCTCATGGCCAAGCAGTGTTTTAATTAATACAGTTTCTTTGTGGTTATTTTGGTTGTAAGCTAGCCAGGCAGCTGGGACAAACAAAGGCTCCCCCTTCCACTTGTAACAACATACAAATACAAATATGTGTGCACATAAACCTTGGTGAAAACTGAATGAGATCAGAGAGGTTTAACAACTGCAATAACCTAGTTTTGGAATGTCCTATACATTTGGAATGTATATGTCATATACATAAGAATATGCCATATACATAAGACAGCATCAAGGAAAATTGGGTGATGTTCATAAAAGAATTTTACACAGTACTTTTGCAACTTCCTCTGAGTCTTTATTTCAAAGTATATATTAAAAGTAAAAATTGACAGCATGCTTTTTTAACACTTTGGAAGCTGTTAAGAGTTCTTAAACTTTGGTAGACTGTTGAGAGCTCTCCTTTGGCATTTTAATGGCAATGTAATAATCAAGAATCACTGATTTCTTTCATCTCTGTTTTATACAACCCTGACTCATCCCAGAATCAATCCAGAAAGCTCTGAGGAGTAAGTGAGGGGAGAGCCAAGATTGTTCAAGCAGAGTTCACACTAGGGCAGGGTCCTGGCTTCTAGTGCTGTCTTGAAAGTGGTGAGGATTTCTTCAGACAGTGCAAGCAGCCAGTCACATCAGCTGTTATTGAAGCATCCTGCCCTTGTGGAAGCAGAGGTTTGGCATTTTACACTGGCTCCTCTCTCTTAATATCCCCATTTTATTTACTTTCATTTTTTTTTTAGAAGATGTGGAGGGTGGGAGAAGAGAAGAAAGAGAAATAATACTCGATAGCTGCCTCTTACCAGAACTTCACACCCATGTCAGAATTGCCATGTTGTAACCCACAGGCCAGTTTATATTGATGGTCTTGAAATAATACATTTAATTGAATGGCATAGCTTTGTCTTCATTCCTTGTGGAGAAGATTTGACAGTTGATGGCTCCTGAGGGACGTGGTAGATTGCCTGTGAATAACCCTATACCCATGTACATGAGGGCAGCACTGATTGTGATTAGGGGTTATTGGTTATTAATATCAGGTTTTTGGATTTCAAGAACATGAAATTGGGAGAAAGACATTGTGGGAGGCACTAGGTGAGCTGGAGGGAGAGGATGCTGGATGAATATGATTAAAATTATAAAATGTAACTGTCCTTTAGACTGAACATTGTACAAAAATGACGAGAAGTAGTTTCTGCTATCAAATGTCTTATATTTAGGAGATGGTAGTAGCAAAAATTCTATAACATCAATGGAAAGTAAGGGGTTCTGTGAGTAGTATGCTTGTTGAACAAGCATGAGTATTTATGTTTAGATGCCAAATTCTCACACAAAAAGTCTGATAGGGCAACACATACCTGATCCCAGAGCTGAGAAGGAGAGACAGGATTGGGGCGCTCACTGGCTAGTCAGTCTTGCCAACCAGTGAGCTTCTGTAATACAAATTCTAATTGTTCTAAATAATAAAAACTTGGAGTCAGCGATTAAGAGTGAAAACTGAAGGATTAGAGAAGCAGAGCAGCCAGTCACTAGAAAGTTCTTAGCTCTACCAATGCTCAGACTGAAGGGCTGATCCTGTCTCTACCAATTCTCAGAATGCATGCTATCTCCTGTCTCCTTCCGCCTAATATTCCTCTCTCCACCAAGCCATATCATTCCTGTCTCTTCCTCCCTAGTACTGGGATTAAAGGCATATGGTCCTGAGTGCTGGGATCACCTTTGTGTGAGCTCTATTTCTCTTTAGACAGATTTAGTCTCATGTAGTGGTATGGGAGGTCCGTCTGTCTATGTGTGGTCTCCTTAAACAATATAGCCCAGGGTAGCCTTGAATGCACAGAGATCTGTCTGCCTCTGTCTTCCAAATTCTGGGATTAAAGGTGTGTGCCACCACTGCCTTGTCCCTATGGCTTCATTCTCCACTCTGATCTTCTGGCAAGCTTTATTTGTAAGATTACAAACAAAATATTATTACATTTCCCCTTCTTGTCTATAGTTAAAAACAAAGACTGAAACTAATATAGGAAAAACTATATACAACAAATACAATTAATACATCTAGTCCATTTGCATTTGACAAGTTCAGAAAAATACTCTATTATCTACCCTATCTTGGTAAGTCCCAAATCTTGTACCTAGTTAATTTTCTGTCATAACTTGCATTACCATCCAATAATATCTTTTGATATCTCTCAAACTTATATACTTTACATATCTTTAATGAGTTTCTTTTATGAGTCTGGCAAACCAGGGAGTCTTCAACTCCCTCAGAGACCCAAGAAGGAAATAATATTAACTGAGTAATCAAAAATGCAAGTAAGAGACTTCAAAAAAATGTGAAAAATGACATAATCAACTGACCTCCTGGACAGTCACCCAAAATTCCACTGCAATATTGGGGCATCCACATTCAACAGGCCTAGAATATTTAACAGACTTTTCTATGAAGCAGGATTTTTTGAAGAACTGTCCTGTTTTGTCTGTGAATGGTTTTGTGGTCATTCTCTTTTGGGTCTTGCTTATTCAATTTGGACAGCATACTGTCAGCAATCAAGGCAAAAGCACTTTCTTGCTCAATTGTTTATTTTTGACACAAAGAAAGTAAACCCCATGTGGAGATTCTTTGATGCCCATTATCTTCTCTGAAATAGATTGATGCTGCCAGGAGCAGACATGTCTAAGAACAAAAATGTGAGACTGATCTCTGCTGTGTAGAACAACAGAAACCAGATTAGATTTCAAGGCAGTGATCTGGTTTGACAGCAGCCTGAGTAGAGGGTCCAAGGAAAGCCTACCAGTAGAGAAAAAAGGAAAATCTAGCCAGTGGGGCAGTGACTTCTGCCACATGTA